CTCTTCCCCCTATCCCCCCTCCCCTTCTCATCATCCTCCTCCTGGTGCTGCTGCTCCTCCTCCTCCTCCTCCTCCTCCTCCTCCTCCTCGTCCTGAGTTTGTTTGCAGTTTTCGGGGCCCTCGGGGCCCTCCACGGGCCTCAGGGCGGTCCGAAGACGACGCAGGAGGACGCTCTCGTCTCGCCAGCGTGGCACCCGAGTCCAGGACTCATATGCTTCCCCCATATGCTTAGGCCGCTGCCTCGGGGGGGGGGAGTGGGAGTGTGGTCAGCTTCTTCTGTTCCGAGGCGAGCGAGTCGAGGCCCAGACATCTGGCTGTTCCAATTTTTTCGATGCGTGAGCCCCGGAGGTCCCGACCACTTCCCCAGGGCCAGTCTTTCCCGCGCCCGAAGCCTGGCGAGGAGCCCCAGAGGCCGAAAACAGGCAAACACCGCCTGCTCGGGAGCGTCGGATCTCTGGGGGCAACGCCTCGCGTCGTGGGAGAATCACCATGGAAGGCTTTCGACGGTGGTCGACCTCGGGAGCCTTCGCCGGGCCCTGGGGCCGTCAATCGGCGGTTCAAAGATGGGGTCCTGAGGCATGGGGCCCTAAGGCTAGGCAGGGATCCAAGGGTGAATGTACATTGTTTGAGGAACGTCGTCCTTGGGACCCCATCTCCCAGGACCCCATCTTTCAACCACCGAGTCAAGAGGCGACTCGGGGTGCCCGGCTAGGGGTCCAGACCTACCTCTGGGCGTCTTCGGGCTGCCCTCTACGCTCGGTCGCGGCTCCACGGGGGGGAGGGGGGGGGCACGGCCAGGGGAGGAGGAATGTCACCACCCACCGAGCCACCCCAACCCAACCCGAAGGCTTCACTTTGCCCTCAAATTCCGGCGGTTCGGCGCAGTCCTCCGACCACACATGCTCGAACCTCATCTGGGAGCCCAGGCTCTCTCTCTCTCTCTCTTTCTCGTCGTGATCCGGGGGACGTGTGGCGGGTTCCCGAAACCAAGAGGAGGAGGAGGAGGAGGAGGAGGAGGAGGAGGAGGAGGAGGAGGAGGAGGAGGAGGAGGAGGAGGAGGAGGAGGAGGAGGAGGGGCAGGGGGAGTGGAGGAGGAGAGGAGGAGGAGGAGGAGGAGGAGGAGGAGGAGGAGGAGTGTGGAATCCGTACCCCCTCCCCCCACCCGAAAATTCGGGTCTTCGGGTTGGGTTGGGGTGGCCTGGTAGGCAGCCATGATGCCAGCCCTCCGCCTCCGTCGGCTACGCACGCGTCGACAAAAACGGCAGGCAGCAAATCACGGAGGGTTCCGCTCGTCTTTGGCTGAGTGTGCATCAGCGTTTGGCGCCCAACAGCGCCCAGTAGCGCCAAGTTCCCGCCCAATAGCGTCCAGAAGCGCCGAATAGCGTTCGCGTTGAGCGCGGCTGGGCGCGCGATGACGGGGCTCCCGGAAGTCTCGACCCATTCCCCAGGAACGGTTTTTCATCCCGAGCCATTTGTTGGCGGCCCCGGGACCGGGCGGGGGCCTCTAGAGGCCGAGCAAATGGCGAAACGCCCCTCCGTCTCGATTTTACTGTTCGGTGCGCACGCTCTCGGGGTCTGCTTGCTCTGGCCCTCGAGGGCTTCGTGCCCTTCGGGCCGAGCTCCGTTCGGCGTCACCCCGACGTACTTCTGCTATCTGTGCGTCGCCCCCCCCCCCCGGGGCGACGCGCGCACCAAGACATGGTATACATGTGGTGCATGCGTCGTGGCGGGCGCTTTCTGGCCACACCGCTCGGGAAGCGATCTGCTGCAAGCTGGGCATCTGCTATATGTATGTCCGGGTCGGCCGCGCTCCTCGCCCCCCCTCTGGTGCGCCCCGCCCCTGCCCCGCCTCGCGGCGCGCTCCTGCCGCGGCAGGCGGCGGCCCTGGCCGCCCTGCCGGGCCTGCTCGCCGCCGCGGGGCCCGGCGCGCCCGCGCCCGCCGGGCACGCGCCGACGCTGGCAGGCGCGCCCGGGCCGGCACGCGCCGGGCGCCGGGCCGGTCGGCATATCCGAAGAGTTTTTGTTGTTTGTTCTTCGTCTTCTTGTTCAAAAATGTCAATGCACACCTATATATATACATATATACATATGTGTATGTATGTACCTTGTAACGCCCCTCACGGGGGTAGAAACCAACTGGGTGCAGCTTACTCCGTGCAGCGTCATGTTCTTTCCTCCGCCTTTCGTGTTCTTGCGCCAGACGTCCACCTCTGAGGCTCTCGGGAGTTTCCACAAGGCTCGCAGGTGGTTAGAACAATGCCCCGCACATTGAAGACGAAGTTATTCGAGGTTTCGTCTTCGACTCCGTTCCCAGAGCCCCGACGTGGTGTCTGTTCATCGTTGCGGCGCCCTTGCTTTCGTGAAAGCATCCTCGGAGGGCCTGTTTGTGGCGCCCCCGGGAGAGGGGAGGAGGGAGGAGGGGGGGGGAAAGGAGTAGGGAGGAGGGAGAAGGACGGAGGGGGTGGAGGCGTATCTCGCGCACGGCGCTATCGGAGCCATCGAAATTACGGATGCGGTAGGAGGAGGACGAGGAGGAGGAGGAGGAGGAGGAAGAGGAGGAAGAGGAGCAGGCGGTGGAGGAGGAGGAGAAAGAGGAGGAGAAGGAGGAGGAAGAGGGGGAGAAATAATTAAAAGCAGAACGGATGAGCAGGAGGATGACGACGACGAGCAGGAGGAGGAGTGGGAATGACGCCCGTGTTGGAGCCTCTTGGTGTCACCTTGGCTCTCCTAGAGCGTGCTGGGGGTCCTGTGGCCTGTTCGGGCTCTTCGGGGCCTCTTTGGGCCTCTTGGAGCCTCCTGGGCCCTCTGGAGCTCCCTGAGTGTAATTCAAAGTGGGTCCTCCTGGGGGCTCTTGAGATCTCGTGGGCTCTCCCGGGGCCGCCATGGGCCCTCCTGGAGCCTCCGTGGGCCCTCTAAGAACTCTCTCGCGGGGGCGGAATGATGAAAACAATTTCGCGCATGGGGGCCTTTCCGTTGATAAGGGGGGCGCGGTGCAGAGTGGCTCCTCCTGGGGCCCTCCGGTGATCTCCCATTTATGTATATACTAAGACAAGAAACGTACTCCTAGTAATCATCGCAGTCATCGAAATAATCCGCATAGTAATAACCATAGAAACCATACTACTAATTAATAGCAGTACCGATAATAATCAGACTGATCATAGTACTAAAGAGCGGTTCAGGCAAGTTTACTTGCGGGGCGTGCGCCCCCCCCTCTCGTTTGGTGCTTGT